TTTGTGGCATGGGTGCCATTAGCAGTATCACAGCAGTAGTGCTGCTGTACCCATGACAGTCCAAGGGTATACATGAGGCAAAGCTTGCACAATGCATGTGTTTGGGGTACGTGCCATGGGATCAGCCACCAGACAGATTTCAGGAATGAATCTCAATGCCTGCGTTTATTTTGTTTTGCTTGAAAACATTTGAGCTCTAGTATTTGGCAAAAAAGGAAACCACTGCATGTCCTTCTCTTTCAAGATCCACATAAAAATCCTATCAGTGGTTTATAGACAGCAGCATGGTAGTTTTCCCAGCTCCAAATGCTTTTCTGTGCCTGCTACTCATCCAGATGGACAGGTTCTCCAAATAAAAGTTGAGTACAGTGAAGGCATGTGTAAGTTTGCTTCCAGCCACTTCAGTTTGCAGATATTTGTCTTTCTGCTGTTGGCAAATCTGTCCTTAAAGGTCATAACTAGAGGTTTATTAGAAATGCAACAGAACCCTTCTTCCTGTCCTCTTTTGCTTTGTCTTTCCTGCAGAGCAAGTTATCAGCACACACTTGTCAACATTTGATTGCTGTAATGCAGGTGACTACAAGAAATAAGAAATACTTGGGGTTTTTTGAATGTTTTCTGTCTCAGTCTGTACCCAGGGTGCTGCTTCCACTTGAAATTGTTTTTCACTGCTGTTATCTGAATCCCACAGTTTATAACAAAAAGGGCTGATTATGTAAAAACAAAGTGACATTGGGCTGTCAAAGCAAAATATCCTCACCACAAATCCCAGCCTGGGCCTTGAGCTGGCAGCTGGATTGCAGAGCAAGATGAATGCCTTTGTGGAAGGGGAGTGGAAATGCGTGCTGCCGAGAGGGGTGGCCCAGACAGTGTGCAGGTCCCATTCAGGTCCTTACTCATGGGAGTGGGTCAGCCTCTTCACACAAGTTTCACAATTGCTTTTGTGCATCGCTTGCTTCTAGATCAGAAAGGGCACAGCAGATAGGGACCACTGGCAGAATACGTGTGGCTTTAATAGGAACAGTCTGGAGCCAAGTATTTCCCTGCAAAAGACTTTTGATGTGTAATAGAAGCCATACTTCTCCACAGTGCTGAATAAATTGCAACCCAGGAAAAACCAAAGACTTTTGCTAAGAGTTTGAATTTTATACATCAGCTCTGTCTCATAGATCATGTTTATATATATATATGAAAAGAAAAAAAAAAAAGAACATATGATTAAGAGGATTCTTTTTCTTTACATGAATGCAGGCACACTGCCGATATCCACAAGCTTCATTTTATACCACGCCAAAGGGAGCTGTCTTCACTTCTTCGCTTTATATTCCAGTTTAGGACCAATACTTCCACTGATAATTTCAATAGAAACTACTACTCCAAAAAGATTGGCACCACTTAACCAGGAGCAGGATTCAACTTACCTAAGTTTAGGTGTCTAAAAGTTGGGCATTGAGTCTCAGTTGCTTGGTTTGGTTTTCTCTATACTGAATGGAAAAAAAAAAAAGATATTTCTCCATAGGGCAAAAGTTCCCTCTGTACCATGCCTGTCACATGGAGAGGTCTCCAGAGGTACCTATTTTTCTGCCCCTGCCAGTGTAGGGCAAATAGTTAAGGATTAACTCTTAATCATCTGAAGCTGGTAAGATGCATCCCCCTTCATTATGTCCTTAAATAATGAATCACTACAGCATCTTAATCTGATGGGGTTTTGGGTAATCTTGTGAAACTCCTCCTCCCATCTTATTATAAAATGGTATAAAAATGTGTAAAACCACTCCCTCTTGCAGGAAAAGGTTTTAAATTTCATTTTGAACTCATCAGTAACACAAACTATAATTTCAGAAAGGCTGCTATTATTGTTAATTAGAAAGTCAAAAGTCAGTTTTGGGTAGAATACTTTGGTTTTTAGTAGAGCTTATTACTAGAATGAAGACATGGCTTTGATAAATTCAGAACACACCCAAACTACAAACAAGAGTTTTTGTTAACTTCCAAAAAACCTCCTCCTTGGCAAGCAGTTGTCTGACTCTGTTTTTTTTGGTTTTCTCTATTTCTTTGCAGAACTCTTGGCAACTTCCACACTAGCTGTGCTACTTAAGACCAATGGTATCTGTAGAATTACTGCCAGAAGGAAAGAAAAAAAAATAATTTTAGATCCCGTCTTCAGAGAAGACCTGTCATGAAAGGGAGCCGGAGAGATCTCTCCCCTAGCGTAAAGCAGATGACATGAAAAACCTAAGAAATGCAGTTTAAAGCCAAGAGCATACCTTGGGACAAGATCAGGACTCGAAGGTTTCTGGGTCTTGGAAAGCTGGGTTCATAGGAAAGGTGTTAAACCTACTTTTAATATAAAGAAAACTACTCTTAAAAATGGAGAGTGAATGAGTTTAGGTAAGTACAGAGTAAATGGTGGAAATGCCTCATGAAAAAAGCTAAGGAGAACAAAAAAAATCCCCAAATTATATTGGCCTTGTACGTAAGCATTCACTGGAAAGGTGGGTTAAACATGCCCGTGCAGTTTTGCAGAGAGGCCACAGAAAAAGCTTCTCCTGACTCCTGTGTCCAGCTGGCGGGTGGCACCTGGCTGCATGCCGGCTTCTAGCCGGCCAGGGCACAGTCGCACAGGCACGCTGGTGATTTTGGCTCCAGGGTTGGAGTGCCTGGTGGGTTGCCAGGATCACTTCTGTGGGCACCCACATCACACAGACTGCTCACGTGGCCTCTTTTCTGCATTTCTTCGTCAGTAAATGTCTAGGAAACAGATATGGGATGATGGAGACCCTCTGCTGTGGTTCTGTCTGGACCACTTGATCTTACTTGCAAATTGCTCTCAATTATGCAGCCATAAACTTAAACCTGTATCTTCTGCAGTTAAGCTATTAAGGTAAGATTTATGTACCATAATTGTAAATTGGACAAAATGGGTTATTTTAAAGTGGAATGGAAATTATCAGTATCTCAAAACATTCTCTTAAACAGAAATATCTTCAAAGAGCAGTAGTTTTTTTAATTATGTAAAGAGAAAACCACTTTCCCAAGCAAATGGCATGTTAGATTGAGGTTTATGTTCTTTCATTGCCTGTTAGGGAAAGAAGGGTACTATGACATCTGCTAGAAAAAATGAAGCGAGTTACTGTCTGGTGCCCTTTGACTCACTAAAGCCAGAAGGAAATATGGTATGGGGGTTTATGCTGAAGAAGAAAATGCAAAATATGTGGTGCCCACAAGCAGATGCACCATGGTGAGTAAATGGCATGCTGAACTAGGTGAAAGAGTTGCCATCCAGCCAGGTCTTTGACTATATTCACACAAGGGTACTGCCAAAACACTGCCAAGTGCAATGTCAAAAAATGCTCACCGAATAGCCTGCAAGCCTGGCAACACCCATTTTTCCATGAATCCTGATAGTAAGTCTGGTTGGCAACATCTCAGAAAAAGCAGCAGGAGATCTAAAGTCTCAGTTTCTCAGTTCCTAGAGTCGTTCTTTTGATACAGTAGATAATGGAGAGATCAAGGCGGGTAGCACTTTTTGTGAGTGTGTCATTGCTTTTCATGCTCAGCTTCCTATAAAAAAGGTGATCCTTTCACTGCCAACTTTCCCTAACCTCTGTGAGACATGGAGATCATTGTCTTCTATATTCCTAACAAATATCAACCAGACTTTTATTTTGGAAAATAAGATAAGGCAGAGTCACTCAGTGAACATACCTGACTGTCACTGCCCTAATAACATGTTCAGTGAAAACAGCTAGGATTGTGTGCATCCTCCTCAGACCTCTCTATTACATACAGACACATAAATTTTAAAGAGAAGCATGGCATTTGCCGTGGGTTTTTACCTATTTTGTGATCCATGGTTTGACACATTTACTAAAATTATTCCTTTGTTTTAGTTATGAGTTGTGGGCTGAAATCTCTTTCGACTCTCTTCAGGAGCTTGGATGCCCCTCTATTATTAAAACTGACAAGGTACTCCTATCTCCTGCTTTGCTCTGAAAGTTTCACCTATAAATTACAAATGTGGTAGGACTAGTATAACAGGGAGAAAGGAAAGGTAGTACAATAAAATGGTTCCTCTTTATTTCATTCTCTGTCACCACTTTTCTATTAAGAAAAATCATGATTGTTTTCCCTGTTCAACACTAGTTCTTTTCAAAAGAAATTTGCTGTTTGTGAACTGGTATAAATGCTACCCATGTAACCCTTAGCTCTGCCTCTCTCTGGAGGGGCTCCATGCCGCACTTCTCATAGCAGACCCCACACTGGATGCCTCTGGTGGAGATGGCTGAGGATGGTACGAATGGGAGCTGGTGGGACTGGCGGTCCTGCTTCTTTCCACGTCCCTGTGGCCAAGGGAGAACGAGTGCCCTTGTGTGAGCTCCCTGTCCTGCAGCAAGGCTTAACCACCACTGACTGCTTGAATAAACCATTACAGTATTGCCAGTCTGTCCTATGGTCAGCAGACTGTGGAACCTAGCAAGCATAGGGTGAATGATTTGTTTTTCTGATACAAAGCTGAAGTATATCTTGGCTGTTACAACTTACAGTTATGACTGTAATTCCTAAGTACTGAACATGGAGTGTGTTTTAACCTCGTTGTCATAAAAAGTTCTGACTTTTCTAAACTTTGTAGCTTCGTTTTTAGTGTTTTCCCTATTTTAAAAAGTCAGGGAAAGAAAAAACAAATAAGCAATCAAGGATTTGACTGGGAAGTAGGCAGAAGTTCACACTGCTTTTGAACCTGAAGAGCCCTGACTGGGATGCAATGGAGGGGCAGCATGTGTCCCAGAGCACTTCAGGAGCTAGCAAATGACCAGGGCATCAAAATGGCCCCAGAGGTCTGAATTATCATGGAGGAAATACTTTTATTATGCCTCAGCACCATGTTTTATCTCTGCAGATATTGCTGGTATTCCTCAGTAGTATCTCATATTGAGCAGACCTTGAATTTGTACTGACATACTGTAAACATCACTTTGTGTTGAAAAGCACCTACTCACCAGGTAGCAGGAGAGAGATCTTCCTTCCCTTGAGGAATTTCCAGCTCATTTGTTGATGGTCAAGCTGAAAGAAACAGGAGATCTCAGACTATAATTTTGACTAGGATGTATCAATCCAAACTTTTCCTAAGCACGTTTGGTGTTTAACTATGAAGTGAGCTGAGCTGCTGATATTATTTTGAATGTAGAGCTAGAAAAATGTGAAATCCATGAAGCCAAGGCAAATGCTGCTGCTTACTTTAATATGTCAGCTTGGATCAGCACAAATGATAATACCAATAGCTCCTTTGTTGTCAATGAGAGGAGGCTTTTCTTCACATTCTGAACTTAATTGCTTTTTGCAGAATTGAGGACACCAGGACTAGTCAGTTATTAAGTGGCAGTTAACTACAGGTACAGGCTATGATTACTTAATCTTTTTGGCATCTTGTACTAAGGAGAGGAGGGCACATAAATTCATGAAAAAAACCCCAGTTTTTAAGATGGGCTCAAGATCTTTAACCTCACTGTGTTGCAGAACAGGAGAAAGCCCATGGAGGTCACTGGTGTTACAGTGACTTGACACCAGTTTGAGTGCAGACAAGATGTAATGCATCATGCTTGAACCCTTGAAATAAGGACAGTAACTTCAGGACTCCATTTAACAGGAGACCAGCTACTGCTGTCATTTCTCCTTGCCAGCAGAACATTTATTTTACTTATAGCCCATCTGGAGACTGAAAGATGAGCTAAGAATAAAAGGTACTAGGGAAAATGATGCAATAACTTTACTGTCTGTCCCATCAACCTTTGTCTTTACAGGCAGCCCAAGGGACACTTAGCTTGTATTCCCACTGTGCTTGCACAAAGTATTTAGGTATGCATGGAAAGAATTAACCAAAAATCCCCCTAACAAACAAACCCCAAGCTATTCAAATTGATCTCAGTGAATAATTTTACAAAAAAAAGCATTTTCTAGTTAAATGGCACAGGATCATGAAAAGGTTTGGCAGCTCCGTGAGTCGGTGACTCAGGACCTCTGTGAATCTAGTCAATTGTGAGGGATTTTTAAAAATCCCTGCAGGTGTAGCTGCAGTTTCTGTCTTCAAATACATGCTGAAATCAACCCTTTTTTCCTAGGTTCATCCTGCTCACCACGGCACTGGGCTAACTCCCCAAGGTAAGCATCTACTACCCCCAGGCCCCACCTGTACTCAGTGCAAAGAGACAGTGCCAGGAGGCAGCTCAGCCCAGCTAAGCTGGGTCTCTCCAGACACTTGTCTTTCTCACTGGCAGCTCAAAGGAGTGCTAACCTGGGTGCTCTGGTTAAACGTGTGAAGTTAGATAGGACACTTGAAGGGATCAGAATGTGCAGCATGTAGCGGGTTCACTCCTGAGCTGGTGGAGCTGCCAAGCCCAAGATGGTGAAGAGCAGCACAATACAGCGTCATGCAGGTGGCACCTGTGTAGGTGCTCCACTGCCATTTCCAAGTTTTGCACAGAGAGAAACAGATCAAGCTTCTCTTCACCTCCAGTATGGCTGGGTCAGACTCCTGTTGAACAGAAAATACGCATGAGATGTTGCTTCTAGCAACCAGCTTTTTGCTAGTTGGAAACTATTTGTGACATCTCTGGCCCTAGAAAAGTGCCAGGCATGATTAATATTGTTTAACAAAGTATTTGGCTTGACTCTGATGAACAAGAAAGGTCAGAGACTAGGGACCTATGCTGAAAACTAATTGCTGAAGTTTTTTGTCTGGCTTGTGTTAGATGCTTGGATCCTGCTATACAAGTTAGAAGTGCAGAGTGCCCTAAGTGCAATATTTTAATTTAAATGCTTATAGTACAAGAGAGAATTCACTGATCATCTCATTAGAAGCTTAGCTATTTACATCTCGACACCATTTACTCTTTGATCTTCTAAGAAAAATGAATGGAAGTTTAGGACATGTTTGTTTGCTTTTGTAAAGGCTTGGATCCAAGCAAAACACACTCATATCTGGTAAATAACAATGAGAGGTTGTAAATGTATTAAATACCTTTGACAAGCGCTAGATACCAAACCAGAGATTTCCAAGGTTAAAGAATTCAAGAGTGCTGACTCCTGGTTTCCATTTGATTCTCATTACAAACCTCATTTCTATGCTACTAAATGAAACAATATACTTCTCCCTGTGGACACATGAATGAGTTGTATCGTCATTGTTTGGATTTATTTTTTTTCCCCTTGTAGTCTTCAAAACCTTCAAGCACTGTAGCTTGAAAATTTCATGAGTAGAGAAATCTCTGCTCCCATCTATTGGTGAGCAAGAGAAGAATGCCCATAAAACTAGTTAATCTCTTTAGCTGTTTTACCCAGATCACTGGTTGGACAGATAATCCAGTGAGACAGAGGCTCTCTGATACCATCTGTTCATTAATAAAAAAATATGGCCCTTCTTTGTCTTTCACTCCTTATTCTTCCCATGGCACTCTGGGAGACATCATAGTTACATTTCAATGACCACAAATTTGTACCAGTCTTCTCAGCATCCTGTACTGGGATGGCTCCTCTGTAAGAGCTGTTGCAAAGGATTTAACGAGTAGACCCGATCGAGAGACAGATACAAGATGGAGTTGAACAACAGAAAGTGCTTTTCACACAAACCATGATAACAGCAGCACAAGTGACACATTTTGGGGGTTGGACTAGATGACCTTTAAAGATCCCTTCCAACCCAAACCATTCTGTGGTCTTCACTAAAAACCCTTTTACTCAGCCATGAAATAAAATGAAACCTTCAGATTGTTTTTTAGGGAAGAGATTCCGAAAGTGACAGAATACCTATTTGCAGGGGGCTGGAAACAGGCCTGTCCAGGCAAGGAGTCAGACCTCCAGAGCTATGGTGTCCAAACAGTGCTAAACTATAGGGAAATTTGGCAGACAGGGAAGGAGAAATGATGCTTGGAAAGAATATATGCCTACAGGAAATTCACAGCATCAACTGGCGACCAAGTCAATGGTCCCTTGCCAAAGGTACTGAATGAAGTAGATGGTTTTATTTATTGTGCATTGTTTTCCCAAAGTTAATGGTATCTTTGCCTTGCCATTAGTGAAAGACTCTTTGTTTCAAAGAGTTTCATACTTGCAAATGAACTATTGCGAGAAGATGCTTGGAAAACATTCTGGGTGGGAAGGGACACAATGCTGTGCACTGACTGTAAAGAGGGGTCATTTTTTGAACATGGTTTTGTTACTAGCAGGAACTCTATCTGGGTTCTGGGTGTCCAGTGATTAGACATGGTGACAAGATCCCAACTAGGTGGAGGAGAAAGTAGTCAAAAGAAAGTAAATTACTGGATTCATATGGACAGGCTAAATTTCTGAGCTCATCAGCTCCTTCACTTCAATTTTCTCAGCGTCCAAATCTTAAATGAAGTCTCACTGCCATTGTTAGGAGCAACATTCAGTTCTTGCCACACTCACATTGGTGGTCATTGCTATTCCAAGATCATTAGGAAAGAGGTCCAAGCATGGTAAGGAATGCAAAAGTGGGCTGGAGGGGAAAGATGCTGCTGAATAAATCCATACTAGGGTGAATACAGTGCTGAGACAGAACATCATTCAGCAGAATGGTTTTATCACTAAAAACTGGCATGTTGCAGTTGAACTGAGATTTTCTAAAGAAAACTTCACCCACAGACAGCTGACTGATGAGTTCACATTATAAAAGACTGTTCAGGAGTTCATCCACTGAAAGGCCATTTGCGGGCTTTACTTTCTCACGGTCCCACTCTGGAAAGAGTTACTCCGTTTGTAAGAGTTACACAGCCCATGCATATCCTCCCATTGTTTCAAGTTAAGGGAACATCAGCTGTTTTTTCTATTGTGAACAGGGGCCACGATGGAGGGCTAATTGGTTCTGTTCAGTTAAATGTCTGTTTTATGAGACCAGGCTATTGCATGCACCGATGCTGGACAATGGGACAGCAGTCTGAATCTGTGATCTCTGTTAGACAATGCGCATTTAGGCTGCTTCTGAGGGACTTGGCAAGAAAACTCCTTGTTTCTTTTTCCACACAATAAAAACCCCCAAAAGATAATTAGATAATTCATAGTGGATAATGATTATCCATGGTTTGGAAAGAATTTCTTTTTGACAAATACTCCTCTGCATCTATAGTACAAACTGATTTTACTGGAAACTTGTTATCAGCCAGAGGAAACGTTTCCCAGAACAACTTTTGAAGGTGTGAAGTATTTGTTAATGCTAAGATACACACAAAGATACATGAAGGTTATTCCTAGCAAGCCATATTACATTCTCACTAAAGAAAATTTGTACATCTCCACCACTTGATGAGATCATGGTGTTCAGGATCAGAAACATGTATTTCCAAAAGAATGGGTTTCTTTGGTGTTTTGATCTTTTGTTTTGAAGACAGTGATCATGTGCCAGGTTCTCTAAGAGGCGGGTCTCTGAGCCTGCTAGAATCATGCTTTATTGCCTCTGTGTCAAAAAAAAAAAAAAAAAAAAAGGATCCTACATAAATTTTAAATGGCCTTCTGATTCTGTAGCACCAGGGTACAGAATTTATTCCAGCTCCTCTTCCTTTCTGGACTCAGATGGTTGAACACCACAGGCAGTGTTTCAGGTATGTTGGGGGACAGAGGTGAAATAGGACGTGCAGCTGATTTCTTAATCCTGACCTTGCTATTTTAATGATGAAAACTGAAGTAGTTCCATGGATGTTCTAGTCCATACAAGATCCTTATTCAAAGCAATGCTACCCACAGGAACAAGGGAGGCAGGAAGATAGCTTGAGCAACCTCTGAGGTTCATGATTCAGAGGATTAAACATTACTATAGACTCTTGCAAGGAAGAAAATAGTTTTTCAGAAGAGCAAATAACCAGGGTATTTTCCCAATAAGATGCCATAAGACAATCATGATATTGGCTTTGGAGGGAGGGAATCTACAGGTTAAAAAGCTGTGTGTTCACATGCTGTTTGAAGGCAATGGATTTGTCTTTCTGCAAATTTAGGTCACTGGAAGAATACTGGATTTTTTAGTTTTGCAGCGGTAGTTTAAAAACATATAAGAAGACAGAAAACAAAGGAAAGGGTCAGAGGATTATTTTTCATAGATTTTTCACATTTCATAGAGGCCCCTTTACAGGAAGGGATTGCAATACAGCTCATTATGCAAGGTAAATACAGTGTTTCTATAATATCGCTTGTTTTTTCCTTCTGTGCTATATGCAAACCTGCTCCTTCATTCACCAGAAGCATCATGATACAAGTCACAGACTTATCATGTAGCTTCCCCTCTTCAGCTTACAACTGTATGCAGCCCATGGGGAAATTAAACACACCTTAAAAATGTCTGAATATACCCATTGACAAAGATACTGGTTTTACAGTGGTTTTTTTTTTCAGTTTTTTGTATCATACTGTTCACAAACATTCAACTTACTGCCAGGTTTCTGGTTAACTAAAAAAAATTAACAAATGTGAAGCACAGATATTTATTTTAAAAATTAGATGTTTCCATTAGCTTATACCATTGTTCTGTAAATCCTAGCAATCCGGGTTATGCCAAAGAACTTAAAACCATGGAGCTCTGATTATACCAACCTGAAATCCAAGTGACCCCTGGGTTAGAGACAGTTTTTGTCTCATGCAAAGGGAGGCTGCTGTGAGGACTATAACAAACGCAGTCTCACTTAACCTCTTTTTGAAAATATAGTGAGCTCAGTTTTAAAAACAGTTAACGCTCAACTCTTGTTAGTCTGTGGCAGTTCCAGGATCAAATCACTTATAACCATCGTGATTTCCAGCTTAAATATACTTACAACCAGTTTATCCCTGCTTGTTCCTAATACCAAGGTTGTTCTTAGGTTGCTTAGGTAGCTTTTCTCCCTTAATACTCATCTCCAAAACATAGTCAATGACAATGATTGTATCCCCTCTTGATTTTGTCAGGCTGTGGAAGCAGTGATCTCCACTTTTCTCTTCTATGATACATTTCCCAAACCTCCCATTATCCCATCACCCTTTCCAGCATCAGTTTGAGCTCATCTTTCTTAACCATGGGTGGTCAAAATTTTACACAGCCTTCCTTGTGCAGAGCACTCTTCTCAGGGCCTCATCCAACGGCGCCAACATTTCCCTATCTCGACCTGAAATATACTTCCTGATGCATCCAAGTGGTACTTTTATATTGTATGCTGTTATTACGTTTATATGGTTTCCTGGTGTTGGGGGTTCATATTCTTCATATGGCCATGTAGGACACACAGACCTTTTTCTATCCCTAGCTATAATACATTGTGTCAATGAAACAAATCACAAAAATCCTATATGGTGAAAACTGCTTACCAAAAACTACTTACAAAATAGGCTGCCAAAGATTTGTTGAAAAACAACTATCTACTGAAACTGGAATTACATCTGGATGTAGTGAATGTGCATGAAGTGAATGTCTTAATCAACTCTGTTAAAGAGGCAAAAAGTGAATGTTTGTTAGATATTATTGTGACTTGCAAACAAAAAAGCATTTTTATTACTGTTTATTGCTTGCATTGCAATAGTGCCAGGCAGCCTCCCACCAAAAGGAAACTTCTATTGTACTGGGTCTCAAACAAACATAAATTAAAGCAAAACAAGGAAAATATTCCTCAGCAAAGTATTTTCTACTCTAACTTGAAAAAAAAAAAAAATGTCCAGGGAAAGTGGGGTTTTAGGTCACTAGAAGGTAACATGGGAAATAATAACTCTATGATGACTACTCCTCAGGTCAGCTGAAAGCTGCGCATCCACACATGTGACCAGAGTGGCAAAATATCTTCCTTCATGGAGAATCTGGGCATGAAATGGATGCTCAGGAAGTATAAAAGGAGGTATTAAGAAAGTACATTGAGAGCATGGCATAAAGATGTCCAAACAGTATGGAACAAGGAGGCAGATAATTGTGTTTGATTTTACACTAAAACTAGTTCTAAAAGAGCAGACATACTGTTTGAAAGGCACTGTCTCCTCCAAGATCTGTGTCTTCTCATCATAATTCTCCTCTGCAAAGGCTTAAAAAAGTCAGATGGGATAAAAGAAACCTTGTTTATAAAACTCACAAAAAGCAGATTGAACCGAGATCTGGTTTTGAATCAGCATGTGCCAGCTGAAAAACTAACTATACTTCTGCCCAAGTTTAGTGCTTTTGGAGAAGAACATGCCTGTAGTATTTAGTACAATTGCTGAGACTCTTTCAGAGATTCCCAGGATGTAGATACTTTTAAAAAAAAACATCCAAAACCCAGAAACAAGTATCAGCATTAAAAAACAAAATAGGTGAATAGGATTTGCTTTGTTAGATCACAATCTAAATGCAATGCTGGAAGCAGTGTTAGGAAAAGCCTCAAGCATAGGAAAATACTCCAGTAAGAAACAGAAAATGATGCTTGCAGCTAGTTATAATAACACGTTATTCACAGGCATTGCTGACTTAGAGTTTATCCTTAAAACTGCTACCTTGTATAATAATTCAAACACTGGCTCACTCCAGATCCTGCTCTTTCAAATAACAGAAGAGTTGGCCAAACTGCTATTAATACGACCTGATGTGACCAGAGGCAAGCTGGCTCAGCAAAGGAAAACCAGTGACACCCTTTGGATTTATGCTGATATAGATAGGTTCAGCAACATAAAAGCCACCTGAAATAAGATGGGAACCAGCCATCCCAGCGATGGGGTGATCTAGGCAATGCAATGGAGCTGCAGGGTTGGGAACTGACTGAAAGGGGAACAGAACAGGACTGCAAGAGAGCAAGGACATATCCTCACAAAAGGCCAAAAGTAGCACTAAGAAGCAACAGGAAAAGCCTCAGCTGTAAGCCTCAGACACGAAACTGTGGTAGGTGAGCAGCAGAGAGTGCCAGCTGGGAATCATGCTATGAAATGAAGCAAACGGCAGCCTCTTTCCTCCAACCCCAACACCACACAATAATACAAATGAAGATCGATGAAGTTTACCAGCCTACCATGCCAAGACATTACAGGGTATGTCTAATAATCCATGTCCCGGGTAATCTCTGGCCTCAGACGTTCTGCAGACAGAGATACAACAGGACGGAGAGGTGACTCAACAGGACTTGAAGAAGGAACTCAGACTGATGGGTGAAGATGTCTACAGCACCATGGGGAAGCTGGCCCGTGGCTGGACTACTAGCTACCACTCTGGTATTTCTGTAGCTCTCTATATAAAAAGATGGAATGTAGTTACAAGCTTGGAGGTTTTCTGTGTTTTTACACAATGTACAGAGTATGAAAAACATCCTAAAAAGAATGCCACAAAATCCACAGGAGATCGCCACATCTCACTTTCAATTTTGGAGAGGCAGAGACTGAAGCAAAACAGAACTTATCAATGGACTTTGAATAGATAACATTCACTTGCATGTCAGCTTATAGGCTCAAACATTACTCATCTGGTCCTAAGTAATTATGGTTAATGAGACTACAGGTAGTCTAAATGATAGATTTTCCATGAAGACTATTTCATGCTACTCTTTACCCCATAGCAGAATTTGAAGTATTGCCCATTTAAAGACCATGTTGACAAAATTAGTGCAATATTTAGAGACATGTTGGAAAAGAAAGATTTTTTTTCCACTGTTGCAGAACAGTTTCAAAGCAGAAGTGGTATTGCATGGCAAATGCCACATTAATCAGTGGCAGACTGTAATAAATTCTTCACAGAAAATCATCTTAATTAGGCCTGGATATTTAATCTGAAGAATGGTTGCCACAATTGGGTTACAGCTGTATGATGGCTTTGAACTCAACTTCATTCATTACATAGAGGTGAGAAATAGTATAAAGACACTTTTCCAAATAGAGATGGCTTGCCTTGTGCATGATTGGCCTGGTTTCCATAAACTTCAAGGCATGTAGCCTTGAAGAAGCAGCTCACATAAATGTGACAAGGCTGGTTTCAAATTAGCTGTGTTGGCTGTCAGAGCGTCCCCACAATGTGGGAATCATCGTGAACTGCACAGAACTAAGTTCAAAAATTAGCTGCTTGTCTTGGGGCAAGTGCTAGACTAAGTGGCTCTCGGTACCTTCATCTCCAGTACACCTAATTTAGCTGCAGTCACATTGGGTAGTCCATGTCTAACCATTTCCCACTGTGTGACATTGGCATAACCCCATGAGAGCTGTGAGGCACTGTGCTAAAGGATCTGCTGCAATGCCCAGTAGCGTGATTCTGGGGGATGAGGAAGACCAACTCAGAGGTATCGTCATACATTCGAACTAGAGCTGCCTGTGCACAACCAGGGCAGACGCTTCTCTAAATGCATGAACAGCACAGAATTATTTCAATGAGGGACATATCAGAAACACACAGAACAAATCAAGTGAACTTCATTTTCATCTATTCTTCTCATGTACTTCTCTCAGCAGAAATAAGTCCACGCGCCAGACCCTGCGTAGTAGAGAGCCCAGATGAAGTCTGCGAAACAGGGTTTTTATCTTCATTGAAACTCCACTCAGTAAACTTCTAGTCAGTCTGCAGGAAAAGCTCATGGTCCTCTGCTATGGGCATACTTGTGGAAGGCCGTTGTTACTTCTTTATATCCCTTAGTTTTATCTCCAATTTGGGTTTGGCCTTCCCCATTTCATCAGTGAGTACCCAAGCAATAATTTTAAACATGTCCCCTTGCTTGTCTGTCCGTGTTTCTGCTGCTTGTATGGTCTCATTTCCATTTCAGACCATTACAAATCTCCTTGCTTAACCAAGAAGACCTCTACTATAATTCCCTGTCTTCCTGCACAAGGGTCAGATTGGTCCTCAGCTTTCAGTAAGTTTTTGTCAAAACCTCTTGAGCACCTTTTCTCCTTGTGGCAGCTTTTCAGAAGATCTTAAATAATTAGCTAGCTACACTTCACTGTGTAAATTATGATCTGATTATTCCTACAGCTGGTTTCAATAACTTTTTAGAACAATGTTTGATTTATCTGATGGGAGAAGAGGAGTCCATTTTCCTAGATTTCTCTTATTCCCAGGTAGTTTTTTAATTTGAATTCCAAATATTCTTGCCTTTCTTTTTCAGACCAAAATATCTAGATTAATGAAGGCATTTAGAAAAAAATGTGCTTTATCTAACTTGTAGTAAAAATCAGTATTTTCAGAAAACATCATGAATTTTAAAAATTAATCTAAAATGGCAAAATACGAGCACAGCTCTTCTTCATGTTTAGTTGTTGCCACTAGAGTGAGCCCAGCAATAACTAGAAGGAAGAAAATTAAAAACAGCAAAAAAACCACATGTGCCTTTTGTCCCATATTGCGCCTGTGGCTTAATTATATAGCTGCATTGTGTGCTTAACGAAAAAGCAATAAAGGCACTGCAAGAAGTACCATTAATGAGTCAGCATCACCCCCCTGAAGATCAGCTTAGTTACTGGAATCTTTCTGCTGGAAATGCCTTTTATTTCTCATGTTCAGCATTGTCTCTGGTGGTCAATATCCAGAAGTCTCCAGTTTGTTTGTACTGGTGTAAATATCTACCAAATGGTGAAGATCGAGGTAATGCGCAAGATCACAAACAGTTCCTAACAGTTCAGCACTGTGGATCCACCATGTAGAGGGTAAACTCAATGAGAGGATGTTAGCACGGAAGTAACAACTCAAAACAGGAGATTTTAAAGTTGAGAACAGTCTACAATGGGAAGAAGGCACATGGTGAAAACATGAAAGCACATGGTGAGAACATGCAGAATGGGGACAAGGCAGAGAAGATGGTACCGAATTACATGTATGTCCTGGAACTTCCTGCTATGAGGAATTTCAGGATGTTAGACATTCTTGAAATTCTTATTATTCTACTGCCCCTTCAAAGACCTAGGACTTGGCCAATTTCAACTTTTGGAAGTTGAAAGCAAGCCTTCCCTGAAGGCAGGGTAACTTGTTAAGAACCACTGCAGGATTGCTCTGCACCTTCTAGTACACCAGTTTTGAGGAAGCATTCTACAACATTTAAAAATCACATTTTTACCAATGTGTTTATGGATAATGGCTGAGTAAGGTTGGAGGAAAGTTGTAAGTATGGAAAGGGTAGAATAATCTTTTTGTGAAAATTGCAGTTTGGTAAAGAAAACAGTTGTTAAAGAAGAGTTTCATTTTGGCGGGTTGGGGGGGAAGCCACTGTGAAAAAGCCTGTTTTGGAATGGCCATTGAACACACAGGGAAGGTACAACCTCTCTCCACACTACCACCTGAAGGGTGTTGAAGACCTCTCCAATAATGCCACATATCATGGATATATCCATCAACACAGATTCAAGATGAGCTCTTACATCAGTGCACTTAGGTGATCTCCAAATATAGTAGTAGCCAGGGCCATGGGTTGCTGGGTCCATCCTGTGACTTTGGAAACACTGCCTCTCTGCTCTGGATTTAAACACTTTATTTCTTTCATTAGCTGATGCTCCATCTTGGTGTTGCAAGAGAATAGCAAGCACATGGAACACATTTGCCCTTCTCCAAAAGCTGAATAATTCACTGGATAATCTCCATTCTTGGTGAATGGAAAGCTGAAAGCTATAAACTGTATTTTAAAAGTTCATTGTGAACACAGAGTGCTGCAGGAAGTAGCAAGCTTATCAAAGATCTTTACGTTGCCTACAGTATCAAATGTTATGTTCACAGGGAAACCAGACAAACAAATTGGCAGGATATGTCAATAGAGTCTAGACTGGAAAAGGTCCCCTGAGAAACTAATTCCAAATATTTAATCTACCACCTTTTACATATTTTTATCTACAATAGTGCAGCTTTTCACACACCCATATTTTAAGAAAAATGTAGTTGAAAAAAGAAGAAGAAGAAAAAAGGAATTACTGTGCTCCTTTTTATCTGCCTGCATGTTTTCCCAAATGCAACTTGAAGCCTCATTCAGCAGAATATTTACATATGTGCCTATGTCATTCAGACTGCTCACACACTTTCTGTACTCACTGGAGCTCATCTGATGCTTTAAATTAGGTGTTGAAATGCCCTACTGAATCAGAGCCATAATTCAGATTTCTTTTTCTTTAAGGTGGAGAATGAAGAGCTAACTCTTCCTCCTAGAAGCCACAAGAGTTTGTAAAGAAAGGCGATGATGTGGGAAACCTTGTGCCCCTCTCTCCGGGGTGACGTTTGATGTCATTGCCAAACCTACCATGTCAAAAGTACTCCAGATAGTGAGGTGTGACATGGCAGTCAGCTCCTTCATCAGCATTTCAAGCACTCTCAGATCATTGGCTTTGCATGTGTGTATTTTGTACCCCTGTTTGAGATGATGCCGTTAACGAAAATATAATGGAAAACATGGAAAATGACTGTGAACTCTTCCAAAAGTGTTTGGCATTACAGAGGATAGGCCTGTTCATAAAGAATTGAATTAAAAAGTTATAAAGGAAATCCCAGGTTACAAGGCAGACTTTGTTTTTAAAGGGCTATTCCAGCTTTAGCCCATTTCTCATTAAAACCATGGCTTTGCAAGAATTTATGTCCAACTTGGGTGACAGAAGAATTTTATTAGAAGAAACATGTATTATTTTTAAAAGCCAATGCCATGCTGTCCTGTGTGTTTTGTAGCATCACTCATTGCTTCTGTCTGCTAAGTCTGGATAAAGAATTTAATTGCTAATAACATAGTAATTGGTCTGATTTTGTGAAACTGAAGGGGAAGTGTTTTTTTTCTCCTCCAAGACATGCAAAACTTAATCCTTAGTTCTTTTAAAGGAAAAAAACCTTAATCTGAATGCGATAGAATGTAGGTTTTATAGATTTTTTTGAAATGTGTGCACTGTGTATGCTTGTGGACATTCTTCTTCATATTCTACTTACACAACTGCCATTGCATGCATATTAAAAGAAAAAGTGAAAAAAGCACAGCCGTTGAAGATATCATTAGTATTTAATTCCTCTGCATATGGTTATTTTTAAAATTTCTTTTCCTTTCCCAGAGAAGCATATTAAATGCCTTTTCTACGACTTATACACAGGACATTCCCTAGTGCTGAATATCCTTTTATCAAGTTGATTCTGAAATCACTATGATTTTATGCCACATTAAAACATACTGTATTGAAAGAGCATATAAGCACTTATTTCTTGTTACAGGCAAACACCCATTCAGCACTCCTCATGACATCTCGGGAACCTGTCTCATCCTATTGCTTTCTTATTGCTTTTCAGGATATTTCACCAAAGGAATGAGAACAAATCAACAAGAAACTTGCACAGAAAAAGCACAAAAATTTTAGATGTAAATCTCCAATTATCAGTGACTGAAAGGGCAAAGGACCCCACTCCAGTGCCACACTCAATATTCCTCACAGGTGAGCTCTTTCTAGAACACTCACTTTTCTTTGTCAACTCTTGTCTGACAGTAGAGTTTGAAGTTTCTGGGTTTATCAACTCAAGTTTTGTCTGCATACAGTGTTTTCATCTGTCCATCCCCTCTTTGCCAAAGAGAAATGCCCCCTCACCTTTGTTGCCAAATTAGACAGCCCTTTCTGTGATTACTGGAAAATTACCTCAATGGTTCTTTCAGTGACAACAGTACTCTTTGGGACGTCTTTAATATGGCCATATCATTCTTTCATTGCAACACAGAATCCTTATTGAAAAGCAGCAGTAATGCTATTTAGAACATTATACAAAGGAAAACACATTTAAATACCTTGAATGATGGTTCGTCAAAGATGAAAATCACAGTATTGCCTGGTCCTCATCTTGAGTCTTTTTGAGTTGTTTTTATGACTGATGTGTTGCTGAAAAATAAACATGAGATATAAAGAAATAAAATAGAGTAGTTAATAGGATCCTACCAGCACTGACAGTTTACTGCACTTTTTGAATTTATGTTTTCAGTCTCTCATTCCACAAATAGTCATGGCTCTTCACCTTTTGTGCTTTAGTTTCCTAATGCATCACTTCCATGGCACTGATCTCTTTGAGCAGTGCTGTTTGTGTTTAAAGTGTTGTGGAAACAACAGCCAGAACCAACCAGTCTGCCTGAAAGAGTGAAAAGCTATGTTTTTCTGGTAGCAAAATACTGGTTTAAATATAATGAAATCCCATGTCTGTTACAGTAGTGCATGTAAGGAGAAGAATTCTTTTAAGAGCTATTTTTGCCATTCCTGTGAACCTGAAGCCATGGCAGTGTTTTGCTGGTTTCTATGGTGCAATTTCAATATGCAACAATCTCTCCAGGTTGAATAATTTGGAATCCACATGTGCTTTGCAGTTTTGAGATAATTTGATCTGAATAGCAGTTTCGTGTAAATGTTTTGGCAGTAATGAAAATATCCTGAACATTACTACATACAGCTTGAAACACCAATAACAATTTTACATGCCAGCAGTGAAAGAGCATGATAGGCAGGTTAAAAATCAGTAGTTCCTCTCTCTGAAATGGATATTTTTTTCACTGAAAGGTTTGAAAACAAATCTTTCAACAGGTTATTTCTGTATTAACGTGATACCAGCAACGTCTGTGCAGTTACCTCTCTTCTCCTGTGGGCAAGCACTGTTCAAGGGAGCTTGAAGGAACACAGCTCTTGCTTGCTTGGCCCCACAGCTGTGGGGTAAACATGGGAAACAATGTTTCAAATGTTAAATAATTGGGGGAAGTGAATGGAGAATGATAACAACAGCAATAGGGAAATTCTCAAGTGATTTGAGAAGGTTGTCTGGTGCAGGCTGGATGTTTGATTATGTATGCACTGGATACCCACCTCTCTCTACTTGAATAATACATGGGAACCAAGAATTGTTTACTTTAAAATATCAAAATGAGAAATGACCATGTTCTGAAAATAAAACCTGGGAGTTTCAACTCTGCCACCTCTAAGAAAGCCCAGTGGGAGGGATAGGGTTGCTGGAACTAGGGGAGGCCTCCTTTTCCTTATTTGTTATCATTTAACAAAATCTGAAGGCATCTTCCTTTGCAGAGAGCCAGAAATAATTCCTGTGCAGCTCCAGGGCCTTGCAGAGGTTATGGTGCCCATTTCTCTGGCTGGTGTTAAACAGAGGGCTTCAGGATCCTACTGGGGCTGCATCACATTGCCAAACACTGGACAAGAAAAAACAAAAGAGCAGATGTAGAGTGGAGTGTTTCTGACTAGTAACAGATGAAAACAGAGTGCTCTTTAGCCATCTTCTGCCTCTGATATTCTCAAATACAACTGGTTGTGTTCCACTACTGGGGAGATTTTTCAGGGTTACATTTGGGAGTGCATGGTCAGCAGACTAAAGATTCCAACCAAAATGCTCCTATTAATTAGTGAGTGTTTCCGAAACCTTAACATTGTGAATTAATGTTGTATTCCCAGCCTTTGCTCTGACTCTGCTTGGAATTAGTAACCCAAAGTTTTATGGTGATAAACTCCAGTATCCTACTGAGAAGAATTAGTGTATGTGTTGTCTACATACTAACAAATGCAACCATGTTTCTGCATGTCACTGAAAAATAAAAAGGACTGTACACATGGCATATATATAACACAATGTTAAGATGCCTGCATCTGGGAGACAGACTGTAGCCACCGCTTCAGTCCTGCGATGAGGCAGCCCAAGCAGTGTCAAGAACTGAGAGGTCCCTGCCTTACACAGAGTGAAATGTGGTGTCACTGACATCCATAGCAAAATTCTCAATGGCTTTTGTGTTTCACCCGAGCTGCATCATGATTCCCCATATATGGAAGCAAGTATTTTACCAGAATAAGCTAATCAAAGAATATGTAATCACTTAGGCAATTTGTAACAGTATTTACAAAATGTGAATCTCAGATTTATTTTGCACAGATCTTCTTTCTCTATCCAAAGTTGCTTGTTAAGCAAACTCTGAAGACTGTTAAATATTGCTTGATTAACTTTTACACAATATTATGAATAGTGTGTTTGGAAAGGACTTTGAAATAGATCTGGCCACAGCCTTACAGCAAACCTCCCAAACTAATACAATTTACTAGGTTCATATTGATGTGGAAAGACTATATTTCTTTACATCTGTTAGCTTACCTTAATTAATTTATTCTTCTCATTATGAATCCAGTTTAACACCTTCAAACACTGCAAGTTTTTGTTTGTGTAGCCTCCTCCATTTTCTCCCCTTCTTGTGTAAAAGAAACATCCAGCATATCAAATGGCAAGCAATGCTCTATTTGCTTTATCAAGTATAAACTCAGCTAAAGCCATCAGCTAAATACTCTGCGCATTTCAATCCCGTTATCACTAGTCCCACGCTTTGCAGAGATCCTGTTTCTTGTCTGCAGGCTTGTGAGCCTTTCCACGGCACGTTGGCTCCAGATGTGCGGTCGCCGTGTTCCCCAGTGGTGTGTGAGCGATGGGAATTGAGCTGTGACACTCGCCCGAAACCTCCCACACCCCAACCCCTGTCCGTAGCCACCTCCTAATGGGTTTTTCACACTTGTTTGAGCTTTAAGGTTCCAAGCAGGGAACTTGCTCCGGGACAGGGACCATCCCACTGGGGATCTGCAGAAGGGATAGGCTCATCCCCTGCACTGTCTCAGGGAATACTGAGCAAGAATCGAACTGATTGAAAAAACAGAACTCTCAAAAACCCCATTTTATTGTGGTTTGTTTTTTTTTTTTTTTTCCTCTTTGGTTCAAATCATTTTGGGTTGATATTCTTTACAACATTAACCTTTCTTGATCAGTGCTTTTAATACAGCTGTCTGAATCAACCGAGGAAGATGTTAAGAAATCTTCTCTCCCACGGCTGCATTACCAAGGATGTTTCAATGAAAACACAGTTCTTTTGATCTTAGTTATTTGGGAGCTCTTCTTCTGCAGCTTGTATCTCAGCAGAAAACCTAACAATCTGTTTGCGCTTACTGAGAAAAAGATATTGTCGCCTCGCCAACATAATTACATTGGTGAGTTAGGGAATAATGAGTGAGAACAGATGAAATATTTAGATATAAATAGTCTGTTTTCATGTGCTGTGATTGTCGCTAATAAGGCAAGGACGTGTGGTTTGTGGTTCAGGGACAGGATAAGGAATCAGGACATCTGGGTTCCTTTCCCAGCTTTACCACAGTGTATTGAAGAAGTCATCAAGCCTCTTTGTACCCCATCAGTTGGAAGTGGATAATAATGCTCTGGGGACTAATTCTTTAATGCTGTCATTGTCAGATGTTCAGAAGGGAAGAGAGATACAAGTGTATGATTTTTACATACTATAAATTGATCCAACTAAAACTTTAAATCCAGATACGTAGAAAGCTTGTGAATTAATTTACCCTATCCTGACTTTAGAATCTGACCCACTTGCAATTTTGTAGCAATGACAGAAAAACAAGAGGAAAATTAAAACCAATACAGAATGTTTCAACAAAACCCTGTCTGAAAGTATGTGATCTTAAGTTTTCTGTGACAATTTTTTTGGGCTTTACACTCAAACGTTTGTTTGGGGGTTTTTAACATCTAAAGTGGGATGTGCTAAATGGGAGTGCTATGTACTTAATAGGGAAATGGCAACGATGTCCTTAAAGACTGAAATGTGCTCATTTGTTCAGAGCCCGTAAACTACTTAAGACTTAACTCGTAAGGCCTAGTAGGATTTAAAAAAGGACCTACAGCGGCCATCTACAAAAGGATGCTTTTCCCCAGCCTATGTGTATTTTGCTCACTGCAGCTGCAACTAATAAATCACTAAACCATAGATTAAAAGCACATAATTAGTATAAAAGTAATTAAAGCCAAGATTCATTCTACCTAGGAGTAAATAAGCACATTTGGCATGTAAGTCATAGTACAAAAGAGATTTATTTCTTTTTAGCATGCATATGCTAGCAGAGAGTCTCAGAACCAGAGTTTCTTCTTCTGCTGAGGAGGGAAAAAAAAACAACCCTGCACTAGGGATTTGAAAGCTTTGAGTTTAAACCATGAGAACAATCCATTTGTGATGAGCATTCTATTATTTTAGGGTTTCCAGCACTTATTTGAAACAATTTTAGTATAAAACTGACAGTCTGTAATACAATAATATTTTTTTTTACCTGCTGATGGATTCTGGGTGTCAGATGGCTGTATCTACGTTAGAAAGCTAATGAGCCAAGCAGGAGCAGACCTACAGTCAGTAGTGAGGTTCCCTCATCCCTATTTTACTTGTGGTCAGGTTTTTCAGTCTGGTCCCATGTGCTCACTGGCTGGAGCACAGGAATTGTTCTCCTGGAGTACACCTTTCTGATGTTGGTTTCACCCAAAAGTCTGGTTCACATGCTCTGTCCTGCAGTGCAAGAAAAAGGACGGTAAGTGGGAGAAACCAGGAGATTTGCTTCAGAAGTGCACTTCTGATCAGAACTAAAATGCCAACCTACCCTCACCCTATTTGCACCCTTATCACTGAAAAAGGGTGGTACAAGGCCTTGATTTGCACTCAGAATCCAGCTGGCCAGCCAAGACAGCACAAATTTCCCCTTGCTTTCATTGAAAGGCAGGCAAGGCTTTGCTCTAAATCACTGCAGTTGCACAATGCTAAAGCAGCAACTGAAATATTTATCATGAAGTATAATTTCAGGCTTTTTTTGAAAGAGGCTTATGGCTATGTGTAGGAGAAATTGGCTTCAGTCTGTTGATTTTTCTATCATTTGAGAACAGTTTAGTCCACTGCAATATTGGCACAGGAGGTACAATTTTAGACAGGGACAATTAGCTCTTCACCATCACTCTAAGCTAATACCATGTTTTCTGTGATACTAAGGGAAAAGCAAATCTCCTGATGCACAAGAAATGCTCCAGGAGTCCCCAGCAATTCATTTATTTCCTAATTGACTTGTAGACTAAAACAGAGAATACAAGTCTATGGTTAACCAAGCCCTTCCCCTTTCCTATCCCTAGTCTTTGCTTCCCCCAGGAAAAACATGGGCACGTGGTCTGCCAGGAAATCTTCAGCACACCCTGTTTGCGTCCCCAGTAAGAAGATGTAGGGAGCAGAATCCCAGGGCTTACTAGTGAGTGGTCCCAGTGGAAACAGAGCAGTTTGTATTCACAGTGGCCTAGGAAGTTATGTCAGAGCGAGTGAAAATCAGTGAGCTATCAGCTGAGATCCCTCATCCACCTCCAGAGTCTTAGAAAAATGAGTGTGCTCAGGGATACACGGAATAGGTACCAGAACGCTCATCATCTTTTCCATGAAAATTGCACTCATCCTAACGATTCACATCATCATCACATCTTTCACGCTAACTTCCCTAAAAAGATGTCCCAAACCAACCCACACCCACATATCTTTAGCTGTGTATGTATGTATGCGAAGTCATGAAAATAACTGTATGTGGTAAGACAAAGCAGCCTGAACGACCAAAATATTTAGAAACAAAAATTCTTTTCCGATGGCATAAATCCCACTAGTAGTAATTTCATCTCGAAATGGAAAGCATAGCATTACATTATTTGAGCACAAAGGCCAAATTTCCCTGGTTGCCAGTTAGACCCCAAGCTCATACAAACGCAGCAGGAGAAACCTAAAATGATTTTATTTCCTAGTGGCACTAATTCCATTGCAGAAGAAAATGTAATTATATTTATATTGACATTATAATGATAACTTTGCAGGCCAGACTCCATTCTGTCTGTTAGGCCAGATATAAACAAAGCAGCAGTGGAGATCTAAGAAATTTCTGTCCCTTGGTAGCAGTGTGCCTGGCGGCCCAGCTAGTAATTTCAGCAGTAAGGGGAAAGTCCATTCTCTGAAAAAGATAGTTAAGATTTAATTTTGTCTTAACTATGAAACCTCTCCATTTTGTATTGATCACAGCACCCTCAAATTAATTCCATGTGAATTTTGCAATAAGGAGACTAGGCTTTTGTCCTGTATAGCTGTAAAACATGGCATCGCAACATAAAATCTTGTAGCAGTTATATATGTATGCACATACGTAATGCAATGTGGGTTTACGAGCACAAAGTTGTACAAAAGAGGAGCAGGGTGTTCATCATCAAGATAACACTAACGAGGTCAGAGTATTCACTTGTGATACATTAGAGAAATAGTAATTTCCTTGGAACAGGAGGAACTTTCTCCAGCACAGCCCTCTTCATGCTCAGCCCAACCTGCCACTGCCCCACATCCATGCTGTTGGGGATAGTCTGCAAAATCCCAGCGAAGGTCTGCTGCTCATGCTACATGCTTCAACATTTGTAAAGAACAACAAAAATTATATATGTATTTATGTGAATGGAAACTTGTTACATGCTGTAAGAATTTTGTATGAGGTTTTTTATTAACTTTTTTGTATGGCAGAAATAACCTTCCTCGTATTATGTGCTTGGTGCATGTTATTATTAAGACAAAACAGCAAAGAAAGATTTTAGTGAGATTTGTAAAGTTCTGGTGGGGATGGGTGCCACTATCCCCACGTTAAGGACTGACCTTGCATTTCAGGAAAGCAGAACAAAATATGAATTTCTGTTACAGTGATGAATTTCTCAACATAGAGCTGATAAATGATCGCAGCAGATCTAGCACCCTGGAGATGTCTTGCTGTTGTGAACAGTAATTGCTTGCTGGCTGTTTAAGGCTGTCAGGATCACATACAGTAGTTCAGACTGGAGCCTGGCACCATCTGACGTGTGGTTTTGCTTGCTTATTTATCAATCTCAGTTGCCCCTGTATTAAAAGAGAGGCCCTTCAGGAAAATGGAAGTTCTTTCCTGAAATTCAAGGAGGTGGGAATTGCAGTTATTCACTACTGATACATTAATTTAATACATAGTGGCATTTTTAGGTATTTATCCTGGATATATTAACTTAATATGTTATGGTACATGTGCCAGCCTATCTTATTGTTTTCTCAAGGCACCTTATTGCTGTAAAATATTGCCGGTTCTAAAGCCAAGATCATATAAGTATTCATTACTTCTGTTGCACAAATGGTGCCACTGCCCACAGGAGAAGCAATACCAAAGGAGTGTGTTTAAATTCAGGGCTGAAGGATTTCTCTTTCCTTATAAAATTCATAAAGTAAACAACTCTAAAAAATATTTGCAGGCTGGAACTGTACTAGATGAAACAATTATAAGATAGAATGAGCTCAACAACTTACAATTTTCAAAAGTTAGACTTTGGCTGAGAATAATATTTGAGGACAATCAGAACATTAACCTAATAAACACAAAAACCTTGTTTGGGTCAACTGAACTTAAATTTATTTGGCTTTTTCTTCCATACTTATATGCAAAGACAAAATCCACCGTTATGATATCTATAACTAGGATACCATTGGATGGATTAGTTAAGTCACTGCCCCAGATAACCAATATGTGTGTCATATAAGGAAGTCAGTTAAGGTAGATGCAATTTCCCTAATTTAACCATATAAAAGAGAGGCACCTGGTTTAACCTACCATCCCATCTCCCTCTACTTTCAAAGAGGAGAGAGGAAAAAAGAAAGGGAAATCTGGGCTGTGGGTGGAATCACTTGCTTCTTGGTGGTGCCTCCTCCGAGGCAGTGGGGAGGAAGGTGCTGGTATATTTGAAACTAAGTTTTGATCTGTTACACTGAAATATTGTCACTCCTTACCGCACAGAAGAGTTCAGAAGATGACTGTGGGACATTCAGGTGTGAGGGCAGTAAGAGGCACATAGGAGCCATTGATAGACTGTGCACTGCTTGAACTCCCCATCCTCTGCAGCTGGACGTAGCTGAGAGAGTTTGTCAGTGTTCACAGTCCAAGCCTGGAGCACAAATTTGGCTGAGCTTGTTTTTTCCATTTTCGTCAATATTAAAAATATGTCCTGTACATGGTACTACTTCTGTCATTCACCACAGAAAGACCTTTGCAGGCAGAGTCCGACACCATCACATTTTTATAAATGCTTCATAGAAGTGTACAGATTTCACAAGCTTACATTGGCTTAAATCAGAGGAATTTTATGTGCTTTACCAATGTTACCTGAGGAAATACAGCTCCCAAATGGTGATATTTTTTTTTTTTTCCAAAATACAGTTATAATACGGGGGTGGATGTATGTCGGCACCAGACCAAAGTTTCTTAAAGGACACTTAAGCAATTTTAGATATGGAGTTTTCACAGCTTGTTTGTTCTTAACTGTAAGTTTTGTTTTTGATGAACTTTTTAAACTTAGTATTTTGTTTAAATTAATCTCTCCTCTAAGATATTTCAATACATATTAGATTAAATCTTCTTTAATTTACAACCACAGTGCCTTCTCTGCAGTCAGTTTGTATATACAACGCAAACGTGTATTTTGAATGTTAACTGTTTTATAATCTTGAAAAAAAATTCAAGAGGCTTGTGCAAATATCATAAAAAAATAAGGATAACATACACACTAAAAGTAAATATAAATATTTGGGAAGAATGGCAGAAATCCTTTGCTTATGTACAGAAACTCCCAGAGTATTAACAGCAGTCCGTCATATTCCAAAGTTCTAGAGTACATTTGTGTTCATAAAAAGAACCCTTTTCTTCAGTTCTCAGTGTTTTAGAGATGCCTGGATTGGTTAGTGTGAGAGAGAGTTTTTTCGGTAGTGGAAAATTTCTTCATGGCAATGACAACAGTTTCTTACAGGACAACAATACCAAAGTTATAAATCTGAAATCAACAGAATTAAATTGCCATAAAACCACTGCTATTGAAATCACATTTACTTGCTCTTAGTTTGTTTTGGTTGTTTGGTTTTTACCTGAAAAGGTTTAGGAGTTTGGTTTTTAATGTATAATACAATTCAGTTGACAATAGATGTTATAGGAATATGGTTGTATTTATAACTAGTAAAAATGCACCAGTGTCAGGGAATACCTCTTAAGTACACACATAATGGCACTGACAAGTTCTAAACTTACTACATGAAATCTAATAGGAAGCCAGTATATGAAAGCACTAATGTTTAATATTATGGGTCACCTCCTTCTCGTTTCATTTAGAATTACATTTATCGGCTTCCAGATTTAACTAGATCCATAATACGTAAAAATACAACATGCGAGTTGGAAATGCATATATCAATTTGAATAGAAGAGCTGATAAATTTTACATTTTAATCACAAAATCAAGCCACTTGGAAAATAATATATTTTGCAGACTGCTTTAAAACATTTTGCCCCATTTTTTCACTCCTTACTGGAGCTAATACCATCAGTGTAGCAATACTTCAGTGCAAGGGAGAGCATCTTTGCACAGATCTCACCCTGCCCAGAGTACTGGAAATGTCACAGCAGTGTGATTGGAGGAGTCCCACTTCCTCTTCTAGAGGAGATTGGAATAAACATCTGTGCACTTGGATGATCATCTAAATTAAACTGAGTGTGGCAGAGACTTCCTTTAGCAGTTTCCCTGTCACTAAAGGAAATGAGAGTGTAATTTTATAAGTCCAATTACAGGATGACTGTTTAGCAGCCAAACATCAGGTCAAATGCAAAATAAAAAAAAATTAGATGTATCTCACTGTAGATTGGTTTTGTCTATTACACATCAATACTTACACTTGGTACTCAGAACTGTACTACATCATATATAAAGCCTTGTTCCTGAACCAGGGAATTTATAGTTCATTTATATGACATACCACACAGATGAAGGAAAAAGCAGATAGCCTTTTTAAAAGTCTCATTAATTCTAAAATAGTCATAATGTGAAGCACAAATTGGATTTTTCTTCTTGTTCACTTGATTTTTTTTTTTTTTTTCATTTTATCTGGTGTGCCATCTCACTCATTCAACTAGTGCTACATCACTAGGACATATAACTTAAGATTAAACATAAAAAGATGAATTATTAAACTAATGTATAGGTGCTTCAGGCTCTGTTTGAGCTGAGATGGATCATTCCTTCCTTCTTCCTGAGTACTGATTTCTTTACAAAGATTTTCTGGGACAAGAATTCACCTTCTATGAAGTCTATATCATCTTCATGCACCTTGTCAGATATTCACCTCCTTGAAGCTACTATATGAATATTGAATACTGTACATGAACTGTTTATTGGAATGTTCCTTGTGTAAATAAACAGGTTTGATATAGCAGGCTGTCAGAAAAACAAACAGAAAATATGGAGAATGGCTTCAGACAAGCCATCTCACAGCAAACTCTCATAAAACCTGAGCTTTTCACAAAATTCTTTTTTTTTTTTTTTTTTTAACCTCAGCCACCTTGGAAAATTGTTTTAACAAGACTGAGGGCCAAACAACCAAAAGAATGGTGGCTGGTTGAGATGGTCTTCCAAGGAGCTAGAAGTGGAGGTCACCACTGGGGAGCCATTCAAAACCTGATCGGCCATGTCCATGTCGCCCTGTAAAACCGCTTTGTCTCACACCAGATTCACTGGCTGCCCACTGCTTGCTGGGATCAGCTCACAGGAGGCCTAGTTAGTGTGTAACAAAGACACGCAGGGCGAGCTCAGAATTTTTGGGTCCCCTCCAAAGGCAGCCTGGACAACCCACCTCCCCACAAGCACCTTGGCCAGAAGCTGCCGGCCAGAGCGGTGCCAGGGCAGGCAGCGGACCTCGGCTCCCTCGGCTCCTCACCATGAGCTTCTCCGCTTCTGAGCCCCTGCCTGGAGGTGGCGAGTGAGCAAACCAGTTAGACCAAAGGATTCCCATCCCATGCTGGGATGGTAGCAGCCATTCGCAGCACGCGTGGATGATCAGCAGCATGTGCTATTGTTTCTAACCAGATCAGCACGGTCCATGTGAATCTAAATGAACCTGCACACCAGCAAAGTTAAGTGCTACCTAGCATGTCCATAAAACCAAATGAAAACTTGGCTGTGTGGAACTGCAGCACTCTGGTATATTTGTAGTGTTTTAAGTTTGATTTTATTTTCAGTGGGGTACCCTTCCTGCAGAAAACAAAACAAAACAAAAAACAAAACAAAATTTCTGTTTTCTGTATCACATTCTGCCAAACAGGGTCAGTTTCCATGGGTTTACAGCACAGTGAATGAAAACTAGTGGTATAAATCAGGTGGCTCAATTATTTCATGAGAGCTGAGTCATGTTGTGACAGTAATGATTTTGCAAATATTTGTGTATGAGTATTGTTGAGGCTTGAACTCCTGTCAATATGTGTGTTCAGCTTAGCCTGAATTCAGTGGAGATACACTAAATCACTGAGTAACTAGTATGCAGCAGTTAAGCTTGCATTTGGCCTCACATAAAGCACAAAAATGTCCTGGATTTGCATTTAAAATTGATGTTTGGCATGTAATCATCCAACTTGCCCCTGTAGGACACTGCAGAATCAAACTCTGAGTCTTGTTTCCCGCTGCTCAGTGCCACACATGATCTCTGTAACTCTAAGTGCACAAAGCAGGTGTGTAAGACATCAGAAAAGTAACATTATGGTCACTTTGCACAAATGAACATGACTAGAATAATGCTAGAAGCAAGGGGAATTAGGTCTCATGAGTATAAATTTTAAGCTAAAGAATTAATTTATGTTTGTTTGAAAGAGCTCAGTGAAGCATAAAAACGGTCAGGAATGTTTAATCCTAAAGGGAATGAGATTTATCAAAGCAATTTGAAAGGATAATACATTCATTTCTGGTTCTACAGGCAAAGAAAAATCAACAGCCCAAAGCATTAACATCTTAGAAGCTATTTTTCATGTTGCCAACTTAGAAGCTCTTTTTCATGCTGCTATCATTACCTCAAGTTTGATGCTACAGTGAAAGGCAAATCTGGTTTTGGTAAGCAGTTACTAACTTGCGATAAGCATTAGGTCTACATTTAAAGATCAAAGCAAACATATATAAACCATTTTGAGTACTTATTCTCTGCTTTATATCCTTGCTCTTGGTCTTATAACCAGTCATCACGGTGTTTCTCTCTTACCTTCTTAGACAGTCCAGGAGCAACCGGAATCTGTATTGAAAAGAAAATGTAGTTAATTTAATTCATAATAATATGTAATGGACTAAAATCTTCAGGCAGGGATTATCTCAGTTGGTATACTAGAACAGAGGAACTGGAAGATCTGTTATTGTCAAACTCATTAGAGAGACAATGAAGCACTTTCCTAATTGTGTTATCTTTCTCCCCTCTGAAAACAACTATCACCCAAATAATCAAACCATTAATACTCCACATTTACTTAAACAAAATTCCTATTTATCTGACAAATCCCAACGCTAGAGCTCACCATAACTAAAACTGTTATTCAAAGATTATTGTGTCATGAGAGGGTGGGGGGTTGGCAATTTTCTTCATTTCAGGGAAAGGGTCATCCCTGTGATAGATTCCATCTACTCTTTCCAGAAGTGAACCTGGTCTATAGCTAAGCAATCTACAGGTCATCATTATGACCAAATCTTGAAGTCTTTACTCATGACTGAACTCCACCTGGGATCCATTTGTGTTGGTTTTTTTTAATGCTTCAATAAATCTGGCCCTTTGCTTCTGTTTGTCCTTTCCTCAGTCTAAACTTTTCAGCTGGATAAAAATGAAGGTATCATTTTGAAAACTCTTACTAAAAAGTCTAAATTCCAAGCATTTTATGAAGACCTTAAGAATACAGATTTCAGCTCAGGCTCTAAATAGAACAACTAAGAATTTGGTCTGAATAAAACTCACTGTATCTTTACTGTAAGGTGAAGTAATAAAAATATGCTTCATTTCACATCTTAGGACAGACAGCTAGATATGACTTCTGCAAGGTAATTTTAGCAGGTTATGAGCTATTCATCTCCACTCACATGCAACAGGTTCTTCTGAAGTTATATGACCATGCATATAAACAAGAAAATTGATGGCAGATTTACAATAATTTTGCAAATGTTATTAAATATACCTGTAAAAAAATATCTGAGCCTATCCTACATGTAGTAAGCTACTGGAAGGAAAAAAAAGAGGAGACCTGACAACTTGAAGAAACCAAGTTCATCTCCCTAAATGCCTGAGAACCTTCTAATCATTAAGTGAGCCAACACCTTGCCAGATCACTGACCACATGAAGGTTAGGTATCCAGGTCATATTAGACTAACTACTGCACATTCATATGAGACATCAGGGACTACTTCCAGATCATTTATAGTCTTACAACACAGAAAAGATGTGATGTTGGAAAAGCCTAAAGTTTTCTACCAGTCTATGTGTCTACTTCATGATCAGGGCTTCCATTAGCTCCACTCTCCATCCTGTACCCACTGATTTACTAATAGGGAACACTCTTGCTTCTGGTGCCATATCATAACAAATTTAGGCAGGCTAAAAACGGTACATATGTCTAAATTTACAAAAGACTTGGCTGCAAAACCACCAGTTAGTTCCAATCCACTCTTGACAGTTCTCCTGGATGCTCAATATCTGTAGAAATCTCATCCTCTGACCCTTGAGTTTCCTTTAAATTGAATGAAAACTCTTATTGAAAATCATAACATGAAAGTATGGAGAATTATTTTTATTTTCAGAGCACTGTAGAGTTTTAATTTTGGTTCCTAATGCATGTAAATTGAAAATATCATCATTATATAGTCCAGAAGTTTCTGTTTTAATGGCCTGAAGTGTACCATTAGTTTTACATGTTCTTATACACTGGTTTGACTTAAATCCAGTTTAGCTGCTTTGTTACAAATGGTTTTAGTTTCCTAGTAAACTTAGTGACAGAGCAATTCAAAACATACTGAATTAATTTAAAATATTAATATCCACAACTGACTCTAAATCAAAAAGAATTATTCTAGATTTAGAGAGTTTTATTTCTGATGGTTCTTACTTTTAAAATATAGTAAAACATATTGCATATATTCACTTACTTTAAAATAGCAAATCAGCACAGGGATCAACACATTCCTTTTTTTCTCTGTGTCTAAGACATTTCTTTATACAGAAGAAAATGCTTGATTTCTTTTCCGTTCAGTGCAGAAATTATCCAGTAAATGTACTTTTCATGTCCCAATGTGTAGCCACTTTGTTGAACTTTCAGATTCTGCAATTAGATAAATGATATTTCCTAGTGAAGATCTAAAGCTGCAAGTACAATTTATCTTCAGTTCAGTAGTGATATGGGCAGTTACTCTCTTGGGTCCGGATCCTGTAAACCTGCATATGAATAGCTTCACCCGTAACAGCGGGTCCAGTGATGACCATTACACTATTTATGTGAGTCAGGGTGTGTCAAATCGCTCCCTGAGGTGGAAAATGTTTGCAGGGTACCAGTGTTGATTTTCTAATAGAAGATAGTAAAAAGATTGCACAAAGAAATAAAGAAAAAAAAAGAGTCAGGAATATCAAATGCCCATTAGATGTTTTTTAACATTTTTTCCCTATTACATTGAAGATGTCCCATAGTTATAACAAGCCCAAACTTAAAGCTCTTATCTCCAAACACTAATACAAGTCCCTTTGTAACTGATGACGACAGCAGGGTGATGCAGAAAAGTACCAGGCATTTTTTGCAAAACTGGCTCTGCAAACAATATCTGCTGAGCTGGAGGTCAGCGTGGCCCCCCTGCCACAGCCCCACGTGAAAGCAGCAATCAAGAGCAAGCAAGAGTAGCCCAGGCACAGCTTCTTATTACGCATCTCATAGGTTGCAAACTAGTGCAGAGAAGGTACCAAACTCTATGTCAAATGGTTGCGAGGTGCCTGCACCCACATTTCAAAGAGGTTATGCTCCTGGCATGGCTTGCAAGGTGGCATGATGCAGCCCCACCACCCATTGCCATTTCAAGAGCAAGAGCTTGCTCGCAGAGATGAACACTGCCAATGCAGCATTTGCATTGCGATTACTGGGTCTCAGAGCGGCCACCAAGGAGACAGGAGACACCAGCAACCCACAGTCATTTCTGACTGCAACTGTACCAGTTGCCTGGAGGCTGGCCAACAAAACTCTCTTTAATGGTGCCCTTACGCAGATCTCTCTGTTACCCCGATTCATCGTCACTTTATCCTGGTATTTGCTGCTGTGCCTTTACACATGTAATGTCTCCAGGATTTGACCCACACAGAGGCTACTCCCACAGCCTGTCCCTGTGACCTTTCCAGGAGTGTTAATGACAATGTTAATGGCTATCCACTTCAGAAAGGGTTGTGGAGACTGGGGTGTAGCAGGTCATTATTGTTTAAACACATTTGTTTTGCCTTTCTTCTCAGAAACTTTAAATCAGAAGAAGTTTCCTTACACAGAATGCCCAAAATGACAGCTTTAGGATGTGTGAGAAAGACACAGTTAATTTAGTGCAGAAGATAAGACATTTCCTTGGGGAAGCACTAATACCAGGCCTATTACCCCTCAATGTCATTTCAGATTAGTGTACTACGGATAAAGGGATTCTAAATCTTTTTAATTGAAAAACATTTGTCTTTTTCTTACTAAAATAAGATTCTGCCTAGAGGTTAATCAGATTTAAAATTATTTCTGACTTACATCCGATTTCTGGACAGTTTATCAAAAAAAGGAGGATACAGTTTGTCTGTTGCCTTGTTAATTTGACACAGTAGAGAAAGGAGAAATATATTTCCTCACTGACCCAAATGGAATAACTACAAGAAAAGATCATTAGAAATACAAAGTCCAGACATAGCTAACTTGCTAAGATTTGCCAGCTGTCACAGACAAATCCACATGTATGAATACATGTGCGCACATGTCACGCATGCATAGCGGAGGGATAATTGTTACCCAAACTTGGTGGTTGAAACAACAGTCAAGAGAATAACTTTACTCAGCTTCTCTCCCTTTTTTCTGGCCAAAAGTTCAAAAAGCATCAAAACCACTGACTTTAATCCAGATAGGGTTTTGATTCATAAGCCAGGAAATGACCTCACTAAAAAGAGCAAACGTAAATATCCTTTTACCTTTAGCATGTTCTGAGCAGGAGCATCCAAAAACTGCAATCCAGACTTGCTCAGCCCTTGACTCATCAGGAGAAGAATTCCACGTGGCCTTGGACCAACCCCTTTTTGTCACAAAATTAAAGAATGAGATTTGAAGCAAAGTCCTCGTTTTGACTGGCGTAGGCACCAACCTCAGAAGCTTCCTGGAAAGCATGGTTCCCTTCAGCATAGATGACATGTTGAAATATATTTAGATGATCTTTTAGGTAAAATGGTGCCTTGTTATCTATTTTAGAGGTCTAAACACAAAGGCGTAAGTGCACTCCAATGTGGGGGCAGCATATTTAAAATGGCACTCTGCAGGTTGATGTTTCTAGAGAGATACAGTCTGCCCACAGTCTTTGGGTAGCTGCACGGCTCACAGAACACTTGTGTGTTAGGGTGCTTTGGGGCTTTTTACCTTGAAACTCCTTCCAAATAACTGTACTCTTTCCATTTCTCCTCATGCTTGCCTAATTGTCCTGTTTCCTCTGATCCTTACTGAAGAAAAAATATTTTCCTTTTCTAATTCAATCCTTAGCCATTGTTTTCCCAGACTTCAGTTCTCAAGAAATAAGATTTCTTAAAAAAAAACCCAAATAACAAAAAAAAAAAAAAAAACCAAACAAAAAAAACCCAAAACAAAGCAGAAGTCTAATTAAGCCATTTATCAAAGTTTTCCAAGTGGCTAGAGTGACAAATTAGTCCTATCTTCCACCAACAATCTGATGGATGGGAAGATAAAGATGCAGAGGCTGTTATTTTAGCTGGAAGCTCTCTACTATATCAATTATTTGGCCCCAAGCCAAAAGACCCTAAGAGATGACAAGAACTAATGATGGGTCCATGAAGTTTATGCAGCATGAGGCCTGACATCAAAGGAGTCTACCCTTATTAGCCATATATCTCTATGCCTTCTTCCTGGAAAAAAATATTAATTTGGGTTTGGTTTTTTTTGTTGTTGTTGTTTGTTTGTTTGTTTTGTTTTTGTTTTGGTGTTTTTTTTTTTTTTTTTAAATTTACTTAATCATCTTACTCTTTCAGTAAATGGAAAGAAAATGCAAACTGTAAATAAATTTGCACAATAATATATTGTCAACAAGTTCTGCTCTTCTCTACCAATATGAAGTGATCATTATGACATAACTTCTAAGTCCACCAAGAGATTCTAAGACAGGTAAACTGCAAATAAGTTTCCCTACAGGTCTTCTAGGCCATTCTTTCAGAAGAACTGGGCTCCCTGACAGCCAGTACTGCCAGCTGTACTGCACTCCCAGTACAGCAGATACAATCTGTGCATGTGGAAACCAGTGTGGTGTCCTGGTCAGTGGAAGTCAATCAACTTCAGTAGGGTCAGGAGCTCCAAAATTGCCCCGGATTGCAACCCACTGGAAGTACTACTCTACAAGTACTACTCTACTGGAAAGAAGGAAGAGAGGATATAATGGCCAGGATGACTTCTCAAAAAAAAAAAAAAAAAAAAAAAAAAAAAACCAAAACGTGTTTTGATACATAATTAGAAAAGTTTGACTGAAAACAAGCCATTTTGCAGATACTATATGTTACTGAGAGCCAGAAGCAAAATCTGTATATTTTTCACTGGGAAACTATTTAAAGATTATTCCTGATTGATTTACAAAACTCAGCTGCAGTAATTCTGCAGAGCTAAATATTCATATACCTGATCAGCTTGGTTCATCTTTTTAACTGAACATTTTTACAGTATGGAATTAAAAATAATGCAATGAAAAGATGACAGCATTAGAAGTCAGTGCAAAGCCATATTCAGCACATCCTACTGTATTTTACCTTCGTTCTCCAGTCTGGATGTAACAGTATGTGTAGAAGAAGCACTATGCAAAATTAGAGTATGTAATCAATCTTGAACTTTCCTGTGTCTCGATAAAATTCCCTGTATTCATTCTTCTTCTATAGTTACCTATCCATCAAGCAGTGTACTCAAAGTGAAGAATAAGTGGCTTTGCACTCATGAAGTGTTTCTTTCCTGTTACTTTCAAAAGAGGGCATGCCATTTAATCTGCCACGCTGTTTTTTAGCCTGAGACATAAGGACAATTTACATTGCTTTATCAACTGTAGGAATGTCCACAAGCTCTGATGTTTTTTGGGGAAATAAAAAAAATCTTGTAGTACGTGAGGTCCAGCATAAACAATCATGGTAAGAAGAAGAGAAATTTTTAATACTAAACCCTTACTTGACAACTTCAAAACAAGGAGCTAAAATTCTGCTTGAGAATACAATGTGAACCATGCAATACCATAGTAATTCAATTTCTTTATTCCTCCTGATGCACTTGATATCTTTAAGTACATAATGTACTTTCTTAGCTGTTTATTGATAATAGGGCTGCTTAGGAACCACATTGTGGGTTCTTTATATGCTATGCACTTGTGATACTTTGGGTGAAACTGTAAATAAAGATAATGCACTGGTTGAATTTTTCTATTCAGAACTGTATTTTTCCAATAAAACTGAAGTGTAAGTATCACAGCAATATGCAATTAAGTGTTCAAATGTCAGTGCTTCTAACTCAGGAAGGGAGCTCCTTGAACAAAGAAGCTTAAATGCAATTTGGCTGGAAATTAAATGTTATTCAGCAGAAGATTGGTACTGAAGTTGTCAGTGAACCAAACTGTCTGCTTACTTATAATTAGCAACATGGTCATTGTCTGGCTACCCTAGCATACTGTAAATATGCCCGGGCAGACTCTGTGATTTAAGATTATTTAGAAGACAGTTATTTATTGTCTCAAGAGACAGGTATAACAACTCCTCTCTTAGTCATTTAGCTTGGTTCAGGGGGGTAGCAGCTACAACTCAATCCTATCTCGCCTTTCTTCAGAAAACTAAAGAAATGATTTTTCTTTTCTTTAAATATGGCTCCAATTACTGATTATAGCAAGCTAATTCAGAAATACAAGCATCACATATTTCAAAGTCTCCTAAATTTCCCAAACATTTTAGCAAACAAAGTTAAGAAATGTTGTTCTATAATTTACACTTTATGACACAATTAAATGGAAGACTTTAAAAAAGTTTCCTCCAAAATAAATAATAACCAGAAAGTTATTCCACCCTGCACTTGTCTTTTATTTGCCAGATGACCAGTTTGCTTCACTTCCTTTCCACAACTTTAGAAAATACAGCAACTGTACATGTACAGTTCCTGCCTGGAAGCACAGACTTTAGCAGTTAACCCCAAGTTAAAATATAAACTCATCTTTCATTTTTATTTTAAGATAATATTTAATCAGTTCAGGCTGAAGGATACACACAAAGTTTGCCAATAAACGTTGCCTAGTAGATTTTGTGGAAAATAAGTTTGGTAGAACAAAAATGCAAACCCACCACACTGCTACTAAAGCTACACAGAGAAGCATACAGATCAGCCTTGCATGAATTAGTACTTTTCCACTGTGTCTGTGAAACTGAAATGGAACGATGGTAAATGAATCAGAGCGCAGAGATATTGCTCAGCTATGGAAACAGAAATACAGATTTCAGCCTCCAAAGGCATCTGGTTTTCACTTGTCTTCATTTTTCCTTCTTCTAAATCATGTTAATATTATATCTTTTCAACTTTAATTTTAGTCTCTTGTGTTAGGAACAGATTCTGATTTTAAGACTACTCTCAGAAGAGTATTAAGAGAGAAATTCTGTTCACTGAATGATACATGAAGACAGTCATGATTTCAGAGCTGTATGTCCTATTTTAGCTATTTCCACTACCAGGAAAAGATGGGTTGACCTACTCATATGTTACAAAAATAGTCAAGGATCTTTAAACAAAATCAATCTCTTTGAGCTGAACAGAAATGGAGAGATATAATGTGCTCACAGTATCACCCTGTTCGGTGCCCATCTAGGCAGTGGAAGCAGCAAAACCACCAGAGCACACCAATAGTGTGTTTTGCCCAACACAACCTGGGGATTACTGAAACTGAGAAGCTTGTTTTTAAAAACCGTCATTCAAGATCTAGGCCAAAGAACTTCAGTGAGGATTTTGGTGAGCATCACTCTGTGGGCTTGAAGAAGATGACACAGACTGATAAATGAAACAGAAAAAGAGGTGGATCAGGAATGATCAGAGATGTATTGGAAAGGATGGAGTGAACTACAGCTGCTCAAGCTAGAGAAAACTGAGGGGCTGCATGACAACACTCTGAAAAATATGTGAAAACAAAGGGAGTAACAGTTTTTTGATTATGAGCTTGATCTGGGACAGGGTAATGCCCAAATGACCTCTGAGGTCCCTTCCAGACCTTAGTGAGGGGATATGCTATGTGAGAATAACCTTTCTGTGAGGTTTTAGAAGCCTTCAGTAAAAACAAACAATAACTTCATCTAAGCTTGAAGTCCTTTAGAATGGTTCACAAAACAGAAACTATTTTTTTTTATTTTTTATTTTTTAACTTGGAAACCTGTCTACTTTCCGCAAAAAAAGCCTGAATTTATACCCTTCCACCAGCCTGCAGAGATTTGGTCCTCACTTTTTTAAAAAACTTTGTGTTTTGAATCTAGGTGCTGCCAATCACTTCTGATAACATGTACAAACCCTTTTGAGTATCTCTATCATCAAAACAATTGTTGGAATTCTGTGATTAAATTTATTATACCTCATGTATTTTGTACAATTTGCTATTACACTAAGGATGAATATTAGCTACTCTCTATTTGAACTCTATTATCTGCCCAATGTCCTGTGTGCTACTAAGATGAAGTTAGCTATTATAATGCTCAACTGAGTATCAAAGCTTTTACACAAAGTAATAAATTCACTAGATGGCAGTGGAGAGAAATATTAGTTTATATAATTCTCTTTTTTAATAGGACAGGGAAACTACCCAGTAAGTACTGCAATTTATTAGCGTTGTTTGTGTTAATGCCAGATCACAAGACAGCAGTGTTTTTGCCCACGCAAAAGTCAGGGGCTTCTGCCCAGTTACATCTCCATGCAAATGTTTGCTAGAGCATGGACACGCATTCTTCCAGCACTAGCACGGAGCAGCAGGGAGTAACACGTACTCATCTTTGAAGGCTTGTGTCACAATTGCTCTTCCTC